AAACAGCAAAGGTGCTTAAGTTTTCAGTTTGAAGCCTTTTTGGCTTCCTCCGCCTATTCCTTCATCTCCCTGTCTGTGTCTGTGTTGTACTGCTGTGCAGCTCAGCAGGCTGGAAGAGAGCAGTCATGAGGAGCTGTCAGTGTACATTAGCTGCTGTTTACACCCCCAGAGAGAAGGAGAGACACGCACATGCCCGCACACACACACGGAGCTGCCCTCTGGTTCTGGACAGAACTTGTCTATGACATGACAAACCAGCAGCTTGCTGGCTGACCCTCCCTCAGCCCTAAGGATCGGGGGATGGTGGGAGGGGATTTGACAGCGGGGCGGGGGGGGGGGTTGGGTGGGTGGGTGGGAGAGATTGTGTGAGTGACAGACTGACAGTAACAACTATCCACCGGCTCTAATCAGGCTTTCAGAGTAATGCTCGAGCCCAAAGAGCTTGGTTGTGTGAATCCATATACTATATGTGCTGGTGTGTGTGTGTGTGTGCGCGCTTGTGACTTGTTTACCTTGGTTCTGAGCTTGCTGGATGTGTGTGTTTTGCCCCTGGTCTCCATTGAGCCACGGTTGCATGCGGAGGTACGGCTCTCTGCTCCTCTGGTTCAACTTGTTCCACCGGTTTGTGTCAAGTTTGTGTCGAGACAGACTGTCACTCAATATTCCCTGGAACACAATGACGGAGAATGGCTCGGACATGGACCAACCGTACAGGAACAGCAGAGTAATCCGAACACATGGGCAGAGAGAGAGAGAGCACACACAGGCCTTACCTCTTTGGAGTCCTCCTGGTTGTAGTTCTCCTCTCCTGTCTGGCTGGATACGGCCCTGCGAGGGTCCGTATGCATGTTGCTCCACCACTGCTCTCTCCAATAACCAACTCCTCCAGAACTCCCAGAGCGGGCCGACCCCTCGGAGCTCCGACCCAGCCTGTGAACTCCGTCAACGGACATGTCGATACCCAAAGAAGCCCTGCCCTCTCTCTTCACGCTGGAGCTGAAGTCCAGGATTGGAGACGGGGATGAGGGGGAGGACAGGAGGGAGCTCGGGGGCTTCTTGAGGGAGAGGGCCAGGGGGTTGTAAGGGGGAAGGGGAGCGGTGAGCGAGCAGTTGAGGAAGTCCCTGTGAGATAGTGATGCTGAGGAGGAAGACGAAGATGAGGCCTTGAGGAGGGGCTCCAGTGCAGTCTGTTGGGCCTCCATCTCTCTGCGAGCTTGCTCTAGGATGGAGCGGATTGCCTCGTCTGATCCGCCGCCCCCTGCGCCCCCCCCTTTCAGTCCTGCATATGAGGGTTGAACGTGGGACAAGTCTGTTGAGAGAGGGGAAAGGTGGTGGTGGAGGATGGGGGAGGGGGGAGGTCATTAGACACACCGACAAACACTCACGGCAGCAGCGTATTACCTCAAATCCGTCGAGAAAACCACGACTCACCGGCTTTCTGCACCTGCAGCTCTCTTTTGGCCTGCTCCAGAATGGACTTGATGGCCTCATCTGAACCGGCCTCTGGGGTGCGGACACGGGCAGTGATGTTACCTGCGAGGAGAAGAAGAGAGAAAGGGAGGAGTGAAAAATCCTGTCGGAAATAAGCAGCAGAGATAGCAAACCGCAGAGCGAGTGAAGAGGCGAGCAGAAAGGACGTTAATTAATACAGCATAGCACGGCACAAAGAACAGCATTCCCACCACTGAGGTACAAGGCAACTACACTGGAGGGATTGTTGTAATTTCTCTGGTCCCTTAGGAGCTCACACATGCACACATGCTACAGGGTTTGTACAGTAAATGCTCCCCACGGAATAACAACTACCAATAAAATCCCTAAATACACATGCTGGCTTCTCCTTTGACGCAAGTCCCTGCAGTTGTGTGGTTACCTCCAAGGCCCATGTATATCTCAGAGCCTGCCCGCAAGTTAATAAACGCCAGCTCACACACACACACACACACACACACACACACACACACACACACACACACACACACACACACACACACACACACACACACACACACACACACACACACACACACACACACGCCAGATACCGTTCACCCCAGCAACAACATGCCACACAGACAGAACGTGCTAACATCTCTGTTTGTGGAGGGGACAGACCTGTGTGTGAAGCTGTATTGGAGAGGGCTCGCCGCTTCGGAACATCCTGAAACACTCGGCTAAGCTGGGGCTGGCCTGAGCCCTCTGTTAAAAACAATATACCACACACTATGTTACAGCACTTGTGCGTCTTGTTTTTTTTTAATTATTCCTGTTTTACAGCTAGACTACATGGTGCCCTATAATGCTCTGCAAATGTGTGGATACTTCCATCCAGTGCACATTAGATCAGCGTAAATGCATTGATTTTCACCATCTGTGGCCCCAGTAGGAATCAAACTTCTACCAAACAGGAATATTAAAGCACTACCGAAGGGTAAATTATTTAATAGGAAGTATCTAACAAGGCGGATACTAACTGCAGCCAGGTTCTTTAAAAACACAAGACTTTGCCTGGGACTAGGGATGTTATATTTAGGTGTACCACGGAGACCAACTTCAATCAAAAATGTCCTGATGCGTTAACAAAAGCCGGCCCAGGCGAATCGAATCAACCCGTAGTTAACAGTACCCTCGCCTTCCCCCTGGTTCGCACCAATCAATACTATCGATGCGTGAAAGGTTTCTGTATTGACCACAATAGCTAGGAGAGGCTCTTGGGATCAGTGCGTGATTAGGAACTCATTCAGAACACACAGGTGTGACACAGGATGGGAGCAAGGAAAGTGAAAGAAAAAGAAAAAGCTAGTCCATATTGACGGGGCTCATCATTGGCTGTGTGCAGGGCAGTGTGCATGCAAGACACACACGCACGCACAGACAAACGCACGCGCGCACACACACACACACACACTCGAGCACGCACGGACAAATGAAAGACACACAGCCTCACCTCTTTGCCGCCCCTGGATGCTTCGCAGCGCGAGGATGTTCTGCTCATCGGCGAGGAACTGCCTCATCTTGTGGAAAGGCTCCTTCCCCCGAATTGTCAGCTTGTTCCACGGCTTCGGCCTGGCCAGGATCTCACTGACCGAACCCTGGGACAGTCCCAGCACGTAGTGGCCGAACACGCGCTGGCCAATGTTGTGCTTTATCAGCTGCTCTTTCACCTGCCGGGCGATCTCGGCCGTGTCCATGTCTTCCCCGTCCAAAATACTTCCCGTGGTGGCGTCGGAGTGGCTGGGTGATGGGGACGGGGCGCTGCCAGCGGTGCTGCTCCCATTAACGGGAGCCATGTCTGGGCTGGCCGGAGGAGGCTGGGGGCTGCTGGCCGCCAGAGGGACGGCCGCTGACCCAGAGCCGGGGGTGGAGGTAGGGATGGAGCTGAGGGTCGGGGTGAACGGGGTGAACAGCAGAGCCCCACTGGGGATTCCAGAGGACTCCTGCAGGCTTTGGAGTAGAAGGTTGAAGCAGCTGCTCTGGATGAGGAGTTCAAGCCATCTTACCGCCCACCAGAGGGAAAACGGGCGAGTAGAAGTCCTGTCCAATGCCCGTAGGACTGAAAGGGTGCGTTTCGCCGCTGGTGGTGGTGGTGGTGGCAGTGTTGAGGGGGTCTGTGTGAGTGCGAGACAGGGGGAGCTGGGAGGAGGAAGGGAGAGAGAGAGGGGGAGGAGGGGGCGAGGAAGAGGAGTCGCCGGGCATGGTCTCCTCCTTCGGTGAGGACACTTCTGTCCCTTTTCGCCTGGCTGACCCTACAAGAAAGGTCAAACACACCGTGCATTATGGGGGAGTCAACAAAAAAGGGGTTCCAAAAAGAGAGAAAAAAAAATAACAAAAGTTGAAAGTTATCTTTATCAATTCTTTTCCAAATTTGTGAACTTTGTCTCCTTTTTTGCCAACCCCCCAGACAAAGTGGCCATGCATTTGTGATTTCAACCTTTCTTGTAAGCTACAGCCTGGAAGACAAAAAGGACAAAAAACAATTGACACTGTGCCACTTAGGCAGATTAGCTTGGCCCAGTGCTGAGTCTCCCTCTCTCAAAGTGGAAGTAACTGTACGAGGTAAAATGATCCTTAGATAGCCAATACACCATGTGAGTCCTCTTCAATGCGACTGCAGCGTGTTCCTAAACACTGAATTATTCCACGGTGGCTGCAGCAACAGAGTCTTTAGTTCATAAAAAAAAAATACATCCAGGGGAAAAAAAATTGAGCAATAAAAATGAATTGAAAAACATTTTTTTATGGCTGAACATAAAACAGATGAATGTCACCAAAAAACAGAGGCCGTACAGCTCGGCTGATTCTGACTCCAATTTCACTTTTTTCCAGAATAGATACTGATTACATTTATACATTCACCCAAAACAAAGATATAAAAGATATAACCTCTATCTTCTCAGTCTTGCAACTACTAAAATCCATTATGATGCGTTAAGAGAAATATTATTCTAATGCATAACCATCGAGACGGTAACATGATCGAGTAAGACAGTAAGCTCCCCTTACTGTGAATGTTAATCAATTCAAAGCTATTCAAATATTCAAGCCCAAAGCCATGACATTTCAAACCCACAAACACTGTTGAAGAGGGTAAGAGACCCGATGTAGGAGCGAGAGTGTGACGTCCTGGTCTTTGTGTATGGTGCATATTTGATACTATTCAGGTGCATTCAAAATACATTCATTTTCCTCTTCTCCGTCATGTGCGGGACTAAAGAAAATGTATTTCTGTACCATGAGAAAGTTTTGCATTTCTTTTTGCATATTGTGACCCAATATTACAAACAATTCCCAAAACATTAATAAATGTTTAAGTATTCTCAGAGAAAAGTAATCTGCCAGTCTAACCTGATGCCATTGTTTCACAGCCTTACCTGCAGCTGAACCCTCATCTAAGATCCAATCAACGCTGGACTCCACTTCTTCTGCTGTTATTTTCTCTTTGCTGATCTGAGTGAGGGTCAGTGGACCCTCACTACAACCTTACATTCTGGCAGACTTACCGCTGAGCTCAGTGTTGGCAATGCGCAGAGCGGCGCTCTCGGATTGAAGACTGCGGTTCCTCTCCAGCAACAGCACCTCCAGAGGTTTGGAGGAGTCCTGATGGAGGGGGCAGGCACAACAGATATTTAAAAAAAGGCTTGAATGTACAATATTGTTTATTAGAAACTGAATTACTTTAGTGCAATATAATGTGAAGATTAATTGGAACTGCCACTATTACCTGCACAGAGTCAGATGTTCCAAACTCCATAGACTTCAGGATACTGAGAAAAGAGAGCAAGAGAAAAGAAAATCTATATGAGCCCTGTACAAAGACACACACATCGGCTGTGTGATATGCTGGCTCTAATTCGGTCTCTTTAAAAGGATCGAGAAAAAGAGCAACACAGTATATAAAGCTACAGACCATTCACGAGGGCCCTCAATTGAGTTACAGACTTTAAATGATGGCACATATTTGTTTAACATTGTTAATGACATCAAACACATGCAATAAACAGAACTGTGCTGGACAAACACACACACACACAAAACACTACACTGTGTGTGGTCCTCACCTCAACTCCTTCTTCACCTCCTCATAGTCAGTTTGCTTCTGCAGTTTGTCCTCCAGTTCCTGGAAAAAAACAGATGGCATTACATGCAAATGTCTAAATAATAAAAGCAATCTTTGGATCTTTTTATTTCATGTGCTTATTTTCGATGACTTCACTTTATAATCTAGAGGGAAGTCACTTAGCGTCTAGATAACAGCGAGTGTAAATTTGTGAATACAGTTAGAAAGGTAGGAATTCACTACAAAGTAGGCAAAATGTTATGTAGAAATCTTCTTTAATTCTCAAATTCCTGAATCTAATTAAAAGACATAAACATGAACATTTATGTTCCTTTGGTACCTTGAGAACGGCAGTCTTGCTGCTGAGCTGCTGCTCCAGCTGTGTGATCTGGGAGCTGGTAGTCTCTCTGAGTTTGGTCAGGCTGGCCTGCAGTCTCTGGACATCCTCCACCAGCTGGGCGGTCTCCCTCTCTTTGGCCCTAAGCTCCGCCTCCAGACTTGAGTGGGACGCTGCCTCCGCCTGCTGTTCCTAAGACCGAATAGGACGCCGGTTTAAAAAATAAAACCCATACAAGTATTCATAAAACCACCAATACTACGGTTGTCTTTCAGATATCAATAAATCACTTTAAAAAAAATCAAGACAGACGCTGATCAATGTTCTGATTATTTTTTCAAAAGTCCTCCCCCCTTGGATCAATGAACGGAGGTAAATAATCAACCAATCCCTTCTACCCAACACTGAGGGATCTATGAAGCATATATTTTGGTGCAGCAGACGGTCTCTAACTAAGTATCACTTCTGCCGGCTGCTAACTGGGTCCAAATAAACCAGTTAATCAATACATCAATCACATATTGCCACCGTGACAACCTTTGTTGCATGGTGAGTGACTGCAAAACCTGACCTTTCAAATCACTGACCACAGCGATCCAATAAATTGAACTGCCGATCGGCGCGAGCGGGAAAAACGGCACGCTGATCTTTAGCCTATCAATACGGCGCCGTGTGTAAATCGGCGCGGCGGCGAGTCGTGTTACCGTGTCGGTGTCGGCATCGGCCGGGCTGCCGAGCTGGGACAGGTTAGTCGAGGACAGCTGCTCCCTCAGCGACTCAGTCTCTCGTTGAGCCGTTTCTGCTCGCTGGAAGGAGAAAATCGGGGATTTCAAACACTGTCAAACGTGATCAATCTGAAGTTCAATTCAATGCGACTGCGTAATTCACTTGGTGTACACGTTCCCCCTTTTGTGTCAATTTTGCCCCGCAGAGTGGTTGAAAACCCACTTAATAAATGTGGACAGAGCGAGCAGGAGGACCAAGAAAAAGAAAACTTCTACCTGTTGTGCCATCATGTCTCTTTATCAACGTACAATCTGTCTTGTGGCAGCAGCTAAGTGTTCTTTGGAGGAGGATGTTGTTGTTGTCGACAGTGACGAGACAGCACCAGCAATCATCTCAACATTGTTCAGGAACTAGATCCCTTTGATGCAAAATATATGGCTACCACATATACTACAGAGTGGAGGGAGGCTTGTGTGGGATGACGCATAAGGTGGACTCTTCCTAATTAAAATAAGACGTAAGAATAGAGAATACCGGCTGCCTGGTCTTTACGGCCCTACTGCCATGCTCCAGTTGGGAATCATCTGCAACACTAGCCAACTTGCCATCATTAGGAATTACAGGGAGCCGAATGCACAGCGTTCATAATTGCAACCATATTGAGAGCTGTTATTGACTGGGTGGGAATTGGTACTGCTAGTCGCGAGAGAAAAATCCTGTTTTCCATTTTCTCCATATAAAAGCGTATAAAAAGTCTGTGACTGAGCTGGAGGCCATGCTGTCATCCTCTGTAAACCTCAAATCACAAGTGTGAATAGTGTGTGTGGCATTATGGTTGGAGCGCTAACCTTTAGGCCAATATTAACATTACATGCCCATGCTACCCCCTTTAGCCACAAATCATACTCTTGGGCTAATAATGAAAGTTAACAACAATGACATTAACAGATACCAACAAATATTTACGACACAGGGGCAGAGGAGGGGCTGGGGGGCTTATTTTAGCTGGACGGACTTAGTAGGTGTGTAGCAAACGTAAGAACAGCCTTAAAAAGTGATAAGCAACATTATTATGGGTTAACATAACCCACATTGTATGGTTAATGAACATTAGACAGTTTCGATTTAAAGGTGATGTTCTATGTTTTGGGTATTCTTAACAAATCCCCAAAAGAATAAAGCTAACAGTAACACAATGTTGGTTTTGGTTTTCCCTCAATTGTTTCAAACTTTCCCCGCCTCAAGCTACAAGGTGGATTGTTCCCCAAGATGTAAATCGTTTTGTAAAAACAGGGTCATGGATATGTAGTTCCTACAAAAAAAGATAAATACCTCCTAAAACAGCTGGGCACTGCAGTTTTATTGGGGACTATTTATAGATGAGGATTAATACACATTTGGTGATCTGGTGACAGCAGCAGGCCGATGTGCACGGAAGCGGAAGTGGAAAATGTACAACTGAGACAATATTATGTATTATATATAATGATGCAACATTCACCCACGGAAACATTGGGCCCCACGGTTCTTCTTTAACAGGTTTGTATTTTTGGCTTTTTTAGGACATTTGTTGAAAGGTAGAAACAAATAAAATCAACTCACTTGTTTTTATTTTTTTTTCATTAATTGACCAACTCTGTTGCAGTTTCTGTATTTTTTATGATGCTGTGTTAAAATACAGAAACACGAAATCAGCAATAATGTTGCGTGGGTTACCTGATTGGCTCTCTCCAGATCGGTCATCACCATCTCGATCTCATCGGCCCTGAGAAAGACATTTTCTGTTACTACAGAGGGTGTGAGGTTGCTTATACGAGACTCAGAAATACAGCACGCAGAGGAAAACAGGGAGTGGATGAATGGATAAGTGAATCCCGGGAAGAAAAAGTGCACTTGGACACATCCCGTGCGTGTGCGTGTGTGTGTGTGTGTGTGTGAGACTGTTCAAAGAGAACACATTTAGAGAATGCCGGTTCTGCGTCCATTAAGCTACTGTCTAAATTTCACCTTAATCCATTGATTGTGAACTCCATAACCCAAACAGCTTGTATGCGTGCATGCATACATGTATTTAGGCATGTGTGTACGTGTGTGTGTCTTTGTGTGGGTGTGCACATGTAAGCCCCTAAACCCAGGCCACACTAAAACAGAGGGATTACATTAATAGAGCTCTAAATCCTAATACAGCCCCCTAATCTGCTATGAAGCTGTGTGATTGTGTCTGACTAATGGTCTGGATGGAGGCCACGGTTCACCTCTCACTTGCTAGAGGTCAGACAGGAGGAAAACATCCCCGCAGTAACACGTCTTCTTGAACTTGGGGGGAAAAAAATATCTGAATAACGCTCTTTTGTGAGTGACGTGAACACCTGTCACGATCCTGCAAACGAAGATGGAGCGTAAAGCTCTGTGGACGAAGACAAAACCCCAGCTAAACAAAATGACTGTTGATTTCTACGAGAAATTATAGGTTATGAACCAAGCAAAAATAATTGCTCGAACACGATTACCCCCCCTGTTAATTAGTGGTCTGTGCGTGTATTTGCGAGCACGGGTAAAATATATTTCGCCGTATGAGGAAGTTTTTACCCGCTCAAAGTCACCAGTGTACATGAATGTTTATTTAAGACATTACTCCCTGATAAGAATACACGGGCGGCATTAAGTGCAAAGATGTGAGCGCATGTGTGCACTGCAGAGTCCACTAAGACCTTTTGATTTGCACTGCAATTCTTTTGATAGTGAACCCAATAACCCACGCAGCTTTTGTATTTGTGTGGCACCGTATGAGAAACAGTGCTATGTCCCATAGGCTTGAGCACTACTGATTTGAATGTGTTTAACAAAACAGACACAGTTGCTATTAGGTCAACAGTGCGCTACAGGCGATGCAGCAGAAAGAAATCAGATGTGGGTGGGAGAGCTTTTCACTCTGCGCTTTTATTCTTTCCCCAACAGTTAAAAGGATCGAGCCTGCATTTAAGCAACATAATAGTACACTACCTCAATAGCTTTTATCCTGTCTTAAGCTATAGTGTGCAGGACGCACGTGCGCACTCATTCGCACTACGGCACACACAAATGTAAGGTCAGAGATCCAGCAAGCCAGAAAAGCTTGTAATGGAGAGCATTTATGGGTAGTAATGCAACCCAAATACACCAGCAGCTCCTGCTCCAAATGTGATCATTTAATCAAAGTACAGATGCACAAAGTCTTCTTAAATAACCTTTGGATTTGGCTGTATTTGGGAATTATAAAAGGCAAAGCTAGAGGCTGAGGGCCAAAGCAGATCACAGGAAAGGGATTTTCTGCATATCCTGATAGTCAGTCAGTCGCTGGGCAGAGCACAACGGTCCGTGTCCGGCCAATGCACCCACTGGAATTAATTCATCCAACACCGAGTACTAAAGGGAGGGCCCTTCGTATGGGTGAATCCTAATTTTAGGCTGCTAAACATACCTACAAAGCTCCATACAGCAGCCACAGGGAGGAGCTATGGAGTAGACACACAGCTGCGCTAGGAAAATAGCACACGGGAACAACACACACTCTTTTGTACCGCGAAAGCCAATGGCTGCACAAGTGACATCAGTGAGTACTGTAGGACTTGTGAAACAAGCCTCTAAGCCCCTACTGTACTTCCTCCATCTCAGACAGGCCTTTTCATCTCTTATCATCTTCTCTCCTTTGCTCCTCACTCAACCGCTCCTTTTCTTTTCCACCCTCTGCCTGCCTCGTCCACCCCCCCCCCCCCCCCTCATTAACCCGGTTCCCTTTCCATTGCCCAGGGCTTTTCCTTCCTTTCAACTTTTTCCGTCCCCCCTTAACACTCCCCGGTCTCAGTATTCGCCCCTCTTCATTGGGCTGTGGCCAGGGGGGCCACAGGATATACTCCCGTATTACATTTTCCTTTTCCCCCCTATATACAACCCTATTCCCCTCCTCCCTGTTTGTAGCTCCAGGCCCCGGGAGTGTGTTTTTGCCCTCTAGGATTAAGCACGCCGATCCCTTTTTTGCCTTGGCTTTCCCCACATTGCGTTTCTCACTAGCGTGTTACCTTGGGGATTTCAAGGCGGCTTAAAAAGAAGCTAGCTGCGAGAATGTGTGTGTGTGTGTGTGTGTTTGCATGGTGCGCCATTTTGGGTTTGTGTGTGCGTACCTGGGATGGACACAGGCAACGGTCAACAGGCCTTTCTTCTCTAATTATCGGCAATTAAATGGTTTTCCCCAAAATGGTATCCAGCCTTTATGCACAGATAAGGCCACACACAGACAACCAGAGGACGTACACGCGCACATAACCACGCGCACACACACGCACAGCATCCTGTGGGGCTGGGGATCAATAAATCATTAATCTTTAACAGGGACTAAACGGGTAAAACGCAGCCAGCCAGACCCTCACAGCGGAAACGCAGACGGGGGGCTACGCTACATCTGCAGGCCCGCCTCCCGCTGACGCTCACATCGACCAAATTCTCAGGGAGTGTGCGTATGTCCATGTGTGTGTTGTGTATTTTAAAAGGCAGATTACCCGAATGCAGCAAGAGGATGGGGGATTTGTCACGCAATGTCCTCCTTAGTGGAAAGTTTAGAGCAAGAGTGTGTGTGTGTGTGTGTGTGTTGAAATAGTGCATAATATGTGTGGTATTTGTGTTTTGCAGGGCTAAAATATATGCAGTCAAAGGGTTAAAAGTTGTGTTCAGCCAAACATTGGCGATTTGCTCAGCCAAGCAGTAAACGGGGGAAGGACTCCAAGGACTGGGAGGGTGCAGGGTTAGAGAGGGTTTGTGTGCGCTTTAAAGCGTTGCATTAAAATTTCAGATCACAGCACGCCACATAGTCAAGGACCCTGACTGCCTCAGGCTCACGAGTGAGTGAGTGAGTGAGTGTGTGTGTGTCTGGATGTGTGTATGGATATGGGCCGGCATGTGTTTATTAGCTTCTGTAAGCAAATGGGGCCTACTATACGTGTCTTTTCAAAATGGCTTTTCTTCTGACATAAAAGGAACAGACAAGGAGCTGTAAAAAAAAAACGAGAAAGTGCAGAGGAGCGATCCAATATGGTCATGGAGGGAGGGGGGGGTTGACAGAAATTAAAACTTATTGATTAGTCTCTGCGTGCCGTATCTCCCTCCTACATTCAAACACACAATGTAAGAGATAGGATACAACATACAACGTGTAGGAGTGAGGGAGGTAGGAAAAGGAAAGGTGGGAGGGGGGTAATGTCAGGAAGAAGAGAAGAAGAGGGATCGATCTGTTTTTAACAGCCAATCAATGTAACAACTCTGTTAATGGAGAGACACCGAGTTCGGGACATGGCAAATGGGGTTGGGGGGGGGGGGGGGACCTTAAAAGCCAAGTTGATACCCTGCTGTACTTTGTGTGCAGGTCGCACGCAGGCTGCCCTTGACTGTTTTATAAACAGTCCCGGACTTAAAGAAGGAGCTCATGTTCCAAGGAAAGTGCAATATGTTTTTTTTGCAGTACCAATTACCAATGAAACACCATGAAAGGCTTCGGTTGTATTCTTAAATCTGAACCTTTCTGAATGCCGGTCTCGGATCTTGTCCTAACCCCGAAGGAGCACAGAGTGTGAAAGTCATAAAGTGCCACTTTACAGTGAGGAAGGCTGACATGGAAAAGCTTCTGTTCTCATCCTCGCCCCTACTATAAGATCAATAATGATAGATGGCGTGTAATTGAAGCCACCTTATCTCACAGGTCCTTTTAGAAGCCTGCGTGGCTTTTAGTCTACGCTCTCAACGTGACCCCTCTGCAGCCCCTCGTCTCCGTCACTACCCTGATGAATCAGACAGCGCCTTCGCCTTCGCCCACGCCGCGCACAAAACTGGCGCTGCACAACGCATTACAATCCCTGTCAGTATTTACAATGCGTGGGTAATGCTGGGATTTGGAGGCCGCCGAGCGTTGCGGGAGACAATCCAGCTGTTTGGGAGAGAGGGGGGAGGGGAGAGAGAGGGACGGGAGGGGGGGTTTCCAGGCAAGGAGATTCAATAAACAGGATGATTATGTCAGGAGAAGAGTACGGAGGAGCCGGGGGGGAGAAGTCACCCAGAAACACACACACACACACAAAGATCACCAGGACACATACTTTGCTGTGGACTCCTCGTCATACTTGGTCTTCAAATCGAAGAGTTCGGCCTGAGTCGTTTCAAGTGCTGTAAAACAGTAAAAAGAGCCCCGTCACTTACAAACTCCCTCCTTCCAGGTCAGCATTCAAATGAAAGGCTTGAACCACACTTTGACAAAAAAGGCACCAAAACCAAATTTCCATAACAGGTTCTTGCTACAATGTTCACACATTATTTTCTTACAAAGAGAACGGTTGGGTTATTTTCTCACTGCTCTAACGGGAAAGCGGTGGGGTTGTTTTCCTGTGTTGCTAGGCCACGGTCAATCTGATAAAACCACACCCACCTAGTCCAGATGAAGCAGATTGAGTGTTAAACCAGTGATTAAACCTCACTGGGGATGTCGTCTTCCAAAATGAAAATCCAGTAAGAAACACTTGAGGATTTCAGACACTTTCAAATGTAACTCCGTCTCAAATTCAGTGATATGGTTGTCCTTGTTATCCAGGCCTGTTAAAACTGTACGCGGGTCTGTAAAAACGGAGCAGACTGGTACCTGTCTGCAGGGACTGGGCTTTGTGTTCGGCCTCTTCCAACCTTGAGGACATGGAGTCCTGGCTCTCCTGGAGTTTCCTGAAGAGGCAGACAGAAGGGGGAAAAAAAAAGAAAAGAAAAAGAAAGCCGGGAGCAGAAGTCACAGATAGAGATACTGAGTCAGTAAATCTTGGGCTCACACTTTGTGGCAACTTCAACTATTCTCTATTTTCCCACCCTTTCTGAAGTGTTTTCCCCACTAAAAATCCTCCCAACACAACCCACTCCTCATTAAGCAGCCCTATTAGGCAGGAATGTCTGGCCACTGGGGCACGCTGCACCCCTGGGGGGAGAGCGGGAGGGAGGGTTCAGTAAGAGAGGGGGAGAGGTGGCGTCAGAAGGATAAAATAGATTTGTTTCTTAGCATTTAAAAAGTTGGGCTGTGCTGAGAAATTGCCACTGCGGGTAAAAACATCAATAATCTAGCACAAAGAGGGTCTTTATGGCAACACTTTGATGCCCCCCTTCTCCGCCAATCCGTCTCTCCTGTCATCTCCATTTTTCCTGCCCTCTACTTCATCCTCTCATCTCCCTCCCTCGCTCGCTCCTAGCAGGACAAAACGCATCAGAGGTGCCATCCATTTACTGCCGCTCTCAGACACAGGAAGTCAGCTCTCTGCAGACAGGAAGGGGCCTATAAAACACTGACGTAAAGGAAATACAGTTGGACAATTGATCTTCTGCTGCACGTCTGAAAAGGGCAACAAGCTTGAAGGCAAACGAGATGATTGACACGAGGGGAAACATGAGCTGTGAAATGTACGTTTCATAAACAGGGGTCTTATTAGTTAGTTAATTAATTATTAATAAGTGGGCGCGTGACTTTGATCATAATAATGACTGAGAAAGTTTCTTCTTTTTGGTGGTTTAATGTCTGCATGGAGTGTGCAAAAGAAGTCAGCAGCATTTGTTGGCAGTGCTTCGTACTTTTAGAGAATTATATGATGCAACTGGATGTAAAAACATCTTAATCGGCAGGGAGTTTTTTCTTGAGAAAATCTGTGACAATGATATGAGCCCCTTGTATAACCTCTTTGCAGCTAAAGTTGAAATGGATTAAAAACAGTATCCAAATTACTGCTAAATGATTAACCGCCACAAAGGAAGTCTCGTGTAAACAAACAAACTGGAGAAAATCATTACTAACCTCATATTAACATCTTTTCTTCCTTTTTAAGGACGTTTGCGACCCACCGTGTTTTTTTGTTTGCACCAACACATACAATTAGTGTACGTCACTCCATCAGCATTAGAGCTCTTAACAGATCATTGTTATTTCTTCATGGTGGACTGCGGATTAACAATAAAAACTGCTCATTAACGTGCTGCTGCGATCTATGGCTCACTTTTCTATTGGTTTTAAGGTTTTAGAGTTGCTCAATTTTCATACTTGAACATTTTCTGATCGGATACATCTGTCACAGCTTCTAACGCCTGCTCACCCTCAATGGAGTCACATAAAACTAGCCAGCGTTGTTTTCCTCCTGCTCCTTAAATATCTGGCAGCAATTTTGAGCTATCTGAAAACCACACTTCAAAATGCCTTGAAAATGGGTTTGGAAAGGAAGTGCGACATTAGATCAGAATGAAATACGTTGTACCAAAATAAAGAGACACTGAAGCCTAATTTCTGACATTATATAGGCATTTTCTAGGTTTTCTTTAGTTTTACATTTTCAGACACAGTAGACGTCTGTGGTAGCAATTATTTGGAGCAAAAAAAGCTGAAAGATATTGTGGTAAGGACAAAAAAGTCTGGGGTGTTGATTCCCATCAAGACAAGAAAGGCAAGCGCCCACACGACAAAAATGCTGGCTTTGTCTTTTATATCTTTTCCATTTCTTCATTCTTCTGTTCAAGGAAGGCAATGGCAAAAGGCAAAAGGCAGCAATTTATTGATTAAAGGGATAACTGAGAAAAAAACAGGACTATTAGCTTAGAAGAAATAATGAAGTTGTGAACGGCTGTGCCGAATAGAGGCCGGAATGTCAAATCTATCATTCAAAGATTAGCATCAAAGCAGTCGAGTCTGAGAGTATAATGACCCAAAGGTTTGGAACGGCGAAATGTTATGGCTGGAAACACCTCTGCTGTGTACACACACACACACACACACACACACACTCAGAAAGTCGTACCTCTCCTTCTCTGCATAGTCGTTGTGTAGCTGGAGCTGCTTCTCTTGGGCCAAGTTCTCGGCTTGATTCTTCAGAGACTGCTCGTACTCTCGGATCTTTTCCTTCAAGGCCTTAATGGTCACCTCTGCAGAAGGTCAAAGCAGAAAGTCAGGCGTGGAGAGAAAAGCAAGGAGCGGTTCAAATATAGGCAACTTAAAAACTACGAAGACAAAGGACTGTAGTAGTTTCCTAAGGGTGATAAATGGCGGTGATGACGATAATCTTGTTGACCTTTGCTTAAGGAACCGCGTTTCATTCCCTACATTCTTCCCCCTGTCGGCACAGACGAGGAGCCTTGGCCCCTATGGCTTCTGCCTAATCTCTACATCCATGACTGGTACACAATATTCACCGTTCGACAAGAGCAGATATGCTGTATTCATTACGACTGCATTAGCGCTGAAACCCCACAACCTGCAAACGTCTGAGCTCTGCATGGGGGCGCCTGAAATAAATACAACACATAACTGGGGTAATAAATAGGCCTCCGTGTGTATGTGTGTGTGTTTCTCTGAGAAAGATATAAGTGAGTGAGACAGTGATAAAGAGCATAGCCGCGCGCTGCCTTGACTTGACTGAGGGCTCTTAGCACTTTGTGTGCGCGTGCGTGTGATTTAAACTCCAGTCTCACTGCTCTGACACATAATCAATAGAGGAGAGTCCCCTCAGAGCCCTCTTACCCCTTAACTGCTTAACTGAACTTTAAACATTTAGGTTGCAGGGATCAATGGCCCCTGCACTCTTTTGTATGTGTGTGTGTGTGTGTGTGTGTGTGTGTGTGTGTGCGGACTCGTTGGCATGTGCGTTTAACAGGAGTGGGAGTTCCACAGTGTGTTTTGGGGTTTAAATATCCCCCATCTATTGAGGCGGGAAGGAGGGATAAAGGATGAGGGAACAGGAAAATCAATGGCAGAATGGAACCCTGCCGCTATCGAGCTGTTCCAATTAACTCTCACTGAGGAAAGGGGGATTCCAAAACATTCCCTGCCCGCTCGCTCGCTCCTTTTTGACTGAAATTGCAGCACTTTTATTACTGCTTCTCACTCATCTCTGAGCCTGTGTCAGTTTTTCCATCTTTCTTTACCCCGAGGTAGCCTGTCGTTTTTTATTCATGAAACTGTGCCTCATGTTTTTTCCCCCTGAAAACCTATTTGAAAATGTAAAAACTTGTACATTTTTTTGTGTTTTTGAATCATTCATAGGGCATTAAATATGTTCAATGTGGCCTCTTCGTTTGAAAAGGGCCTCTAAATACCGCCGTGTTTCTTTGACCTTATATTTTTAGTTAAAAGTTTGTCCAAACGCCAAAAATAGTGAGATTACCTTAAAGGATTAGAATAAAATATTTTGGGGGAATTTCTCAGACCAGCAGCAGTTGGAACACTATTAACATTATTGTTACCACATTAATACTTTTATTGAAGCCAAACCAAAAAGTAAAACAAAATCATCATTTTTCATCATCATCATTTCCGAGGGAGATGCAGTCGATGAACAAAATGAACGAACCACACCGGAGGTACATCACAGTTTGTCATGTGATTAATTGTGCGCCTACTTCAGTGCCCCCTCTCAAAGTCAGGAAAAATCCCGGTTTGTGCGGCTCTGCATGTATCCCGTGTCTAACCTTGGTTTTTGACCTCTGCAAACTCTTTGTTGTAGTCCTCCAGTGTCTCGCGGAGTTTGGTGTTCTCCGTCTCAATGTCGTGCATCCTCTGGAGCTTCAGCTGCAGCTGCTGAGCCAGCTCCAACACAGGTACAGGATCTGGCAGAGACAAAACGCACCACATTAACACACTGGCAGGCAGATTACACAAACGAGGGCGGCGATGTGGCGTAGCGGGCTAGGAATAACTATAGTCAAGGCCTTGCGAGAGCAGGCATTTGCCCGGGTGAAGTGTCCTTGAGCAAGGCGATGAATCTCTCGCAGCTCCGGGAGAACTGACCCTGACCTTTGATCTCCCTGTGGAGGATTAAAGGATCCGGCATGGCCAAAAAAATATTACAATTACTAACCACATATTAAAAATAACACGGCAGAGCACTAAGACAACCAGACACAGGAACAGTGAGTCTCCTCAGGCCAATCAGTCAGACAGCACTTCAATTGCACCATTATGCCCTTTCCTTTTCCATATCCGTTGTACACTCATACATATATGTATACTCATATAGATATACTTGAGTATATATTTATAATTACTAGTTTTTGTTTAAATGTTAACCTTTGAGTGTAGATACTGACCCCTATATTGCTATTGGAATTTAATTAATCACACAAGATATTAACAAAGAATTTGGAAAAGGGCCGCTACAAATACATCCATACGCAGTACACGTTTGTGTCGCTGTAACACGTTAACAACGCGGAAAGGTCATAACTAGTTTTGCACATAGTATTTATCCATAAAGGTTATTGAGTGATACACTATCAGCCATTGTATCAACAGTGACTATTGTCCTAGCATGAGATAAACTTTGGTGTACGGAGGAATAACGTGTCAACTGACCCAGTAATAGAACTGGATGAAATTGTACATGGACGCAGGCGACACGCATTAACAACAAAGATTACCGGTCTATGATCAGTTAAAGGGTTCACTGTGATGCAGCTTGAAAGCCTCAAAAAAAAAAAAAGAGAAACATGGGAGCAGACAGATGGACAAAGTGAGGGCCGTGAAATAGGCACGGTAAATAAGAGATTAAAGAAACAAGAGACAGAAGGAAGAAAGACAACTTTCTGCAGGCATTTTACCAACATCTCTGTGAACACACAGCAGGGTTAACTGTCAGTGTGATGAAGAGAGCCCTGTCAGTCAGGCCAATCACATCTGATTGGTGCTCATGGGTGGCAGACTGGTGACAGGCAGCCAAGAGACGCAGGCGACGCTCATCAGCATGCCAGCTAAAAGAGCAGTTTGCATGTTTGTGTGTGTTTGTGTGTGTGTTGTACAGATAAGAGGAACTGACAGCTTACAGCTGGGGGTAAGGGCTGTGTGTGTGTGTGTGTGTGTGTGTGTGTGTGTGTGTGTGTGTGTGCGCGTGCGTCTCATGTCTGACGCAGTTAGATATCTTAACTATGCTAATGAGAGATCAGCAGAGAACGATTGGGGAATTTCATGCTGATTTTGTGCTGTCAAGGTGACACACCATGCAGGGCTAAGCTCTGACACACATACATCTTGTCATTAAACACACGTGTGCACTACTGCACGGGCTCAGACAAATACACACAAAAAGTACAAACAAACAAATACTGAGGAACTTAACAGTATGCCCAGAATTTGCACCCGTATCTACCGCGGCGCCCTTGAAAATCAACTTTCTTTCCCTCTTATCAAACCTTCGTCCTTCACAATAGCAGCCCCCCCCCCCCTCCTGCCTCCCGCCTCTACATCAACTGTGCAGCCTGTTAAAAGCAGTTTGACTTGTGGGCCGTTGCTGCTGAGCGCTCTCGCCAGACACCTTTAATCTAAAGCAGAGCACGCTGGGCTGACTAAACAGGCCTTCAGCTGATAGAAGACAGAACTAAACACACTGTTTCCTCTTTCAAGACTGCAGCATTAGTCAGGCTGGTCCGTGTCTGCGTGCGTGTGTGTGCATCAGGCATTACATCATTGTCTCGCTGCAAGTTAAGAATAGCCCCGTCAGAGCTGGCGCTGACTTATTGGGAGCAGTACTATCCAAAGATATTACTGTAGGTCTATCCATGTGGGAATCTGATGACCTCCTTACGCTATACATGAACTCGACTCCTCTCTCATCCCTACATACACGGCCCCTGCAGGGCTCCCATACAGCGGAAAACCGCCAACCAGTAGCTCCATGGCTATATATGTGTGCGTATGTGTGTGTGTGTGTGTGTGTGTGCGCGCGCGCTGCTTGTCCCTCCACGGCCTCAGCGTGCTAAACGTGACTGCTCATGTGCGTACTTGGCGAGAGACAATCGTTGGGGCACTTGTCATCCGTATCAGGACGCACCTTCTGTTGAGACCCTCTAAAGGCTTCACCAGTGGGGATGAGCGCTCGTGGGGACATGTTAAGGTGTCGCACACGCCTGGATGCGCAGTGGAGCACCAGAGGGACGGCGTCGGGCTTTTTTCTTATCCCCTGTTGGTGCTGTCTGCATGGATAAGGGGGTCTCCACATCATGCTCGGTGGACTCGGGGAGGCGTTTAGACAAACACACGCACGTAGACACACACACACACACACACAGGACGGACACAAAACGTAGCCTTACCTGGGACATCAATTATTTTCTTGTACACGTTCAAGAAGGCGGCCTCTGCTTCTTTACTTCTCTTACTCAAGGCATCGATCTGCGAGGAGAGAGAGAGAGAGAGAGAGAAACTGAGGGCGGTGTGGGGGGCTTAAGTGTCAGATTCACCGCCTCACAACTGATCGTCACACACGCGCGCACTCCAAAAAGGCAGGCCCATTAATTTCACAACAAGAGTCGGCGACATAGCAGCATTTCCTCACTTTGCGCGTCGCTGTGCTGCATGCAATCGCGGCGGTCGTCTTGACGTTGGTGTTCCCTCCCCGTGAAGTCAGTTCAGCTGTTCAGCCCGATGACGGATGCGTTTCGCGTGCCGCGTCCGTCCTAAAGTGTGTGCGCCTAAGTCGGTGTGCCGGTGCGTGTGCAAATGTGTGCGCTCGTTCCCCCTCAAGCACGCTGACATCATTAAACAGCTGGCTCAGTCTTTCCAGCCACAGCAGGGGCAGATTATTCAGTCGGCTCTTAGCGGCAATACAGTGTGGATGCATTACCGCTGCAGCCATTAACACAAGAGGGCACGGCATGCCTTCCATCACCGATATTATTGAAACGGACAGGATTAGATTGGATCCATGAGGGATTCATTCTAAAAAATTAAAAAATATTTGAAAAACCACTCCGGGGGGAACTTTTAACAATGTTGTCAATGCGGACATATTGGGCAGCGGGCTCTACTGTGGTCTCTGTGTCACAAGCCAATATGAGACACAGACAGAGTAGGCCAAACGCATCTGAAATCAAGTCTAAATCGAGGGAAACAGATGCCAAATGAAGACATTCGGAGGGTGCTACTGTGCTGGGCAGAGCTACAGATGACTCCTCTGGCTCGCGCACTCAGACTAAACAGCCTTGTGTTTCTCTTCCAGCTCCTCCAGCACATTCACTGAGAGAAAAGGAATAAAGACAAAAGCCTAAATAAGTCCAAATATAAAGTCTTCACATTCCCAGCCAAGCCAGTAGTGTAGTTGATGGGTGGTTTAGGGGTCCTTGCCACTGTAAACAGAGCGGCCTACATGTAATACTGCCTGGGCTCCTATGGGAACCTAATAAATCTCTTCACATGGCTTTGATTCATCTCTAGTTTTTTAGCCGCAAAACATCTGGCCCGGAGTAGGCCTGTGCCAGCACCCCTCCCTCTCCCTCTCTCACCCCTTGATTTCTCTATGTCTTTTTCCCCCTCGGTCTGTCTCTCGCTCTCTTGAATTCTCCCTCCCATCACTTCCATGTTCTCTGACTCATTTCTTTTTTTCCCCTCAATCTTTTTCAGTGTCAGTCTTTTCTCACATGTTTCCCCGTCACACGCTAATGACGATCTGGCACGCATAGGGCTCCGGTCTCTTTACACTACGCCCTACGACTATATCTCACCCTCGCATCATGCTGCATCATGTCCTTCACCCTCTTCATGGGCTGTGTGACATTGAGCGATCAGCATCCTCAAATGCAAGGCCGCTAATGGGAGATTACTGATGCCGAGTACTAATACCTCTCACACACCAACGCCAAACCTGTTCATCAGCTCGGAAATGTGCGCGCACGCATGTGTGTGTAGGACATTTTGTGATCGGCCGCAACAATATTACAACGAAGAGGAAACACAAATGCTCCCAAACCAACGCAAGGAGCGATCTGCCGATGGCCGCGGAGGAAACCGGCTGCGTGACTGTACAATGACTGGGCCAAGGTCAGTGGTACAGCAGCTTTATATAGCCCAACATGGGAGGCAGGAAATAGACATTTAATGTAGGACACACCCTGCAGTTAGAGGCAGGTTAACTGCAGGACCACAGCCATTAGAAGACCACCCAGGATTTGCAAATACAACCCTGCTGCACCAAACTGCAGCTCTTTCAACCAATCCCGTTGACATCTGCTAGTACATGCTTCCCTGCCCCCCCCCCTCACACACACACACACACACAGAAAAACAAATGAAGTGACAAAAATGATACCTCACCAGTATCGGTGGGTTACCGAGGAGAAGTGCTTGCAATTGCAAAAGGGCTCCCTGACACATCCGCACACACAAGCGCATACGTACATACGTCAGCACCATGTGCCACCACCATCACTCAGCACCGCCTCGCTCCCCTATCTAACCCACAGTGTGTGAAGGGCATCAGGCTGACCTGCGTGTGTGCGTGCATGTGTGTGTGTGTGTGTGTATGGGCCCCAGTGGAGTCTGATAAGGGGAGGCTATGGGAAGCAGAGACTGAAGCCTTGGATAATGGAAAAGCTTATCTGATCGATGGACCAACAAGGAACACTGAGCATGCAACATACACACACAAAACCCCCACGTACACACATACTTAACCCGTTTAGCAAACTGAGGCTTTGTGGAAACAGTTCTGTTATTGGTAATAATTATGACCTGAGGGCATCCACCTTTCAATGACAAAGATTAAAGAGAGTATCAAGACCTCCAAGTTCCTGGGATAAAACTTTTTTATTGTTCTGTCTGGGTTCCACATTCACTTAGCAAAGATCCGAGCTGAGGGGAAAATGCTTAAGGTTGAGTTACTGTGGGACTTTTGACAGGAAGACCCTCTGCTTTCTGGTGCTGTCTTGTCCTTGATCAAAGCACTGGGGGGTGAGCAAACAAAGCCGGGCTGAAATTACACATCCTCCGAGCTGCTCGTGTTGTGGCATGCAAGCGCGCAAAATAGTTGACTGATTGATGGGCTGCTCTAAGAACCGGCGCTGGTGTACAGTATTATCTCAACAACCATAAGATAATGTCTTTCTCAGTTCGGCGACCACCCACTGCGCGAGTTCTGGTGTGCACGCCGTCGAGGTGTGTCAACACGAGGATGGTGGAAACAGCTGACAAAGCCACAATTATATTGCTGCCGTTTCTATTCTCTAAATAGACTGCGGATGATCAGCAGAACATGGTGGGACCACTATAAGTTACAGCTTTTTTTTTTTTTTTTTTACATAACCACTGGCTGTGGTTGCTGCTCTAACACAAGAATATGGAAAGTAACCCAGTGTTAAACTGTAATATTCTATGGCCAGTAGCAAAGCACAACTGTCACTGTCTATTGAGATGATTTTGTTTGCGAGAGTGTGTGTGTGTGTGTGTGTGTGTGTGTCTCCATGTGTGTGCGCTCGAGAAGAGACACTGCTGGGCTGAATGTCCACCCACTCCAACCCCAAAGAACGCCCCAGTCTAAACCAGCCGCTTCCACTCCTACCCTCTGACTTTCACATATGGGAGTGAACTGGAAATGCTTGCCTGCCAGAAAGGAGGAGTCACGATGGAAATAGGCCAAAATGATGGAGGAGGAGATAGAGGGGAACTGTGGGAGTATGATGTAGCACACACACACACACACAGACAAAAGTCACCTCTTACAGGTCAAGGTACATGGAAACCTAGGGCGCAACATTTAATTGAAAGTAAATAAATGAGCCACAATGAGTAAAAAAAAAAAGAAAAAAGGGTTTGTGATTCACCAGATCCACATATAACCCCACCGAATCATGCAGACAAACAAAGTCTGAGGAAATAGCATTCGCTGAGTTGTGACTGGCTAGAGCCGCGGTTTTGTGCTGGCTTTTTTTTTTCCTCCCTTTTTTTTTTTTTTTTTGCAGGATGCAATTTAAACACACCCTCGGGCTACAGGACTTCATGAATAGGACAGAAAATCAAGAGCAGAGCACGGCGAAGAAAAGAGAGGAGAGGAAAGAGGGGAAATGAGATAGTGGCAAGAGAGAGAACAGGAGATGGCAGAAGGAGGAGAAGAGACGAGAGACGAGATGACGATTTAAGAGGAAAGATGAAGGCGCGATGGGCACTGAGAGGGACAAAGGGGCTTTAAAAAACGCTCTGTATAAACCCCGCGCGCTTGAGCATGCGTGTCTACCGCCATACTAGTCTAAATTCCCAATTACTCACCTCTCCTTGGAAGCTCTTGAGCAAAGGGGCGACCTGTTTCCGGAAATCCTGAAAAGACAGGGAGACCAGTTGGTTAGGGAAACAATCAGTCAGCCAATTTTAATCATAAATAACAGCGAATAAACAGGTCCGTGCGGCAGTGATGTTCAGAAGTGCTTCTTTGAGCAGTTTCACGCTAGCAGACCACACTGGGATCAACAAAAGTCAAGTCATTTTATCCATGGACAATGAATAACGGAGAGGTGCGTGAGCCAGTGACGAACACGAGGGTACACAACAGGCCGGGTTTGTACCTCAAGGTGCTTTGCGTTTCTTATAAGAACAGGTGCAGCACCACCTGGGTCACCCAGAGGCCCCACGCGGCCGTGTGCGTGAGTAAGACTACGGTTAATGCAAATTGTGTCAGCGCAAAGTTTTTACTACAGAGCGAATGGGTTTTTATCCCGCAAGTCCCATCGCATGACTTTACAGTACGAGTCAGCGGTTTCAGATTAGAGAATATATCAGCGGAACATGCAAATCACCACGCTGTTGGCTGAGCCTACACCCTGACAAACTGAACTGGAGCGTACGGTAAAAAGTGCGGCAGAATAGGACATTCTGTACAGGAACATTTGGTTTGCCCGCTTTGTGGACACAAATACTCCCGAAACGGACTAATGAAGATGTGCGGTTCTGACAGATGTGCGCTCGGGAGACGCTGCGCCTTTTAGAAAACTGTCTAAAAGCCCAGCCGGTGCTGCACCGAGCGTGCATCCCCGACTGACCTGGGACCAGTGTCTGGGCCGGGCCTAATCCCAGGTTGGTCCAGACAGGCTTGTCTGGGGCTGAGGACAGGTCATGACCTTGGCGACCCTTCCCCCATTGTTACCTCATCAGGGGTCGCTGCGGCTGTTTGTCTGGGCCAATTCAATATTCCCCTGCTGGGGATAATGACCGCCACCCCACTCTCAGCCCCCCACCAGCCTCCCCTTCCTCCTCTGACTTACACACACACACACACACACACACACACAGAACAGCCCCCACACAAAACGACAGAGTAGCGTCGGTTTTGTCATTTGCATTAGATTATGATTACATCCTAATTTTCCAGTTGTGAATTCAATTTGCTAGATTTTAGATTACATGCACTCACTCCTCGTTTTCAGCCAAAGTTGATTGAACCCAATATGAATTTTATCCCTATCCTTTTGCCTTGCCGTTGGGTAGCTGTGACAGGAGTTCGACAAACTTGCATGCACGCAATACGCACACAAACACACACACCGGACCCACAAAGACAAAAAGGCGTTCAAATAACACGCCGAGGCGACCTACTGCTACACCCAAACCCTGAACCCCTTTGCTCCACACGCCCGTGCTCCGCTCCTCAGCCCTCTCACCGTCCAGAGATTTATGACCATATAACATAACAATGCACACAGACACCATAGTGTGTGTGTGTGTGTGTGTAGCGACGGGAAAGGAGGGGGGCCAGGCAGCAGGAGATGGATGGCTGGTGTGTGAGCTGCCGGCAGACAGCAGACAGGCCAACCCGAGGAATCCTCCAGGGAGTATAGAACTCCCATTCGCTGTCTGTCTGCCCTGCAGCTAAACACAAACGGGAGTATGTGCATGTGTGCACACACACACACACACACACACACACAAAAAAAAAGAAGTTGTTTTACTAGCACTGCCTGTGGCTAGTAATCTTTGGGACATTTTACAGCCATTCCCACCCTTTGCCTTTATAACGAAGTGGTGAAGGAGACTTGACTAACTAAAAGGAAATTAAGAAGTGGATGAATAATTCAGGCAACTTAGGAAGCACAGTGAGATGTAGTCTCCGGAAAGAAAATTCAGCAGTGTGTCGGCGCTAATGAATTATGGAAACTTTGTTTTCACGCCCACAATTCTTTCCGCTACTTTCATAATGCTACAAAAGCCAGCGTGCGTCCCGTGTTAGTGTGTGTGCGTGCGTTATTATGCGGACTGTGAGTGCAGTTCACGCCGAGTACAGCTCGGCAGACTAGACACAGTCAACGTGGGCCGGTCTCCTGGTTGCTGAATAATGGATCAGAGGCGGACTCCCGCTCAGCCTAATGCAGTCTGATCTGATGTGACTGTGATCTCCGCTGACTGGTGCCGACCACAGAGAGCTGACAGGCCGCTCCGTAGGCCGCTCCACCACAAAGCGGCCCGGGAGACGGGGGTGGGGGAAGGCGCCGTCTCGCCGCACGAGGCGGGCCGGGGCGAAGCGTTTAATCGAAGCGCAAGGGCCGCCGACGTGTTACGGGGCCTCCCCTCCGACCCCCGTCGGTAGGCGGCCTCGGCGCGCTCGCACACCTTTCAGGAACGCCCGGGAGTTTTAGTGTCGATTCCCATTGAGCTGTTACGGCCCTGTAATGAATCCTGTCGCTGGCTCGGATTCCTCCTCCACATACCAGGGAGATGCCAGGGGCCACACAGACGCCAGAGGAGCCTTCCTAAATCACAGCCTTGTTACACTGATGAATGTGTGGGTCCTGTTCTGTGATTGCGGCTATCTGCCTGTGTGTGTGTGTGTGTGTGTGTGTGTGCCTCCGCTCCACTGGGTGTTTTCTCTGTGTGCGTGTCTGTCCGACCTGCCTCCTGCGTGCTTGCTGGTTAAGTGGTTACACCAGAAAATGAGATTGGGAATGAATGTGCAGAGTAAAGGGGGATTAGCATCTCCTACATGCAGGTAGCATACTGCTCCACACTGGGCGGCCCACCAGCTGAAGTCAGTCACCATCCTGCCGCTGTGGTGACTGTAATACGCTTACTGTCAACTCCGCCGAGAGTTGACCATTTTCTATCCACAGTCTACTCCATTCATACATAATTCATGCTGCCATCAATAATTCACCGTGGTGACATTACCAATAATAACACAACAATACTTTGTTTTCGCTGTGTGGTTGAAAATGCGTTGCCCTGGTAACAGAGATGAAACAAATATTCCCAGGAGGAGTGATGGGAACACAGGAACAGGACAGAATTCCCTCCTGATCCCACTTAGTAGTGTTGTCACACTCTCTCGCTCTCGCTCTCTCTCTCTCTTGCTCTGTATCTTTCCGCCCCCCCCCTCAAACACACACACACACACTCACGGACCACACTTTCTGCATGCATAAAAAAAACTAGGTCAGATAATACAAACTCCTGAGGGGTTTTCGGTTTTGTCTCTTTAGGATTTCAGGGAAACTAATGGAGAGACTATTTTTGGGCGCCAAGCCCGCATCTCTACTCCTCCCCTTCTTCTTCTCAGTAAATAACCACGGCAACATTTACCAAGAGGAGAAGAGACACTGAGAAAACACAGATGAGGCGCTGGAGGATCTTCGGGCGTGCTTTGACTGCACAGACTGGGATGGTTTCAGGACTGCTACTGACAGTCTGGATGAGTTCACAGAGGCTGTAACTTCCTACATCGGCTTCTGTGAGGACAGCTGTGTACCATCATGCACCAGGGTGAGTTACAACAACGACAAACCCTGGTTCACAGCGGAACTCAGAACACTTCGCCTGCAGAAGGATCAGGCATTTAGGAGCGGGGACAAAGACTTGTACACAGAGGCAAAATACAAGTTTAGCAAGGCGGTGAGAGACGCTAAACGACTGTACTCTGAGAAACTCCAACAACAGTTCTCAGCAAGTGACTCTGCTTCGGTTTGGAGAGGCCTCAAACACCTCACCAACTACAAGCCAAAAACCCCCCACTCCATGAATGACCTCCGCCTGGCAGACGAGCTCAATGAGTTCTACTGCAGATTTGAAAGACAATGTCCTGTTCCCATCCCCCACAGCTCCACCAACCTGCCGCAGTCCCCCTCCCCTCCCTCCCCCAGCCCATCAGGTGCTCACGCCTCTTCATCATTATCACCTTCCCCTCCCCCACCAGCAACGACCCTCTCTATTCTGGAGAGAGACGTTAACCGGCTCTTTAGAAGACTAAATCCCCGTAAGGCAGCCGGTCCAGACTCCGTTTCCCCTCACTCCCTGAAGCATTGTGCTGACCAGCTGTCTCCGGTGTTCACTGACATCTTCAACACCTCCCTGAAGACATGCCACGTACCAGCCTGCTTCAAGGCCTCCACCATCATCCCTGTCCCCAAGAAGCCCAGGATCACAGGACTCAATGACTACAGGCCCGTCGCCCTGACCTCTGTAGTCATGAAGTCTTTTGAACGGCTAGTCCTGTCCCACCTGAAGTCCCTCACCGACCCCCTCCTGGACCCCCTGCAGTTCGCCTACAGAGCCAACAGGTCTGTGGACGATGCTGTCAACATGGCCCTCCACTACATCCTCCAGCATCTGGACTCCCCAGGAACCTACGCCAGGATCCTGTTTGTGGACTTCAGCTCTGCTTTTAACACTATCATCCCGTCTCTGCTGCAGGACAAACTCTCCCAGCTGCACGTGCCCGACTCCACCTGCAAGTGGATCACAGACTTCCTGTCTGACAGGAAGCAGCACGTGAAGCTGGGGAAACATGTCTCAGCCTCTCGGACCATCAGCACCGGTTCCCCCCAAGGCTGCGTTCTTTCCCCTCTGCTCTTCTCCCTGTACACCAACAGCTGCACCTCCAGCCACCAGTCCGTCAAGCTCCTGAAGTTTGCGGATGACACCACCCTCATTGGACTAATCTCTGGTGGGGACGAGTCCGCCTACAGGTGGGAGTCTGACCATCTGGTGTCGTGGTGCAGCCAGAACAACCTGGAGCTCAACGCTCTAAAGACAGTGGAGATGGTTGTGGATTTCCGGCGGAACAGAGCCCCAACCTCCCCCATCACCCTGTGTGACTCCCCCGTCACTATTTGTGGATTCCTTCCGTTTCCTGGGGCTCCATCATCACCCAGGACCCTCAAGTGGGAGCTGAACATCAGCTTCCATCACCAAGAAAGGCTCAGCAGAAGGTTTGTTCCTTCCTGAGGACAGCCTGAAAGAAAACTCCAACCTGCCAAAGGTCGATGATGGTCCACTTTCTACACCGGCCATCATTCGAATTCCATCCTCTGCTCCCTCTATCACCCGTCTGGGAAG